GCCCGCCGTTGACGCGTCAAAAAAAAAGAATATCATGCCAGTAACGAGCAACGCAGACTCTCTTCAAAGTAACCGCAATTCAGGTTACAACTTCTATGACCTATTTAATAATACCAATAACAATCGCAGCAAACCGTCTCAAGGGTAACAAATATCCAGATCACGATTCTATGTTCTGTAGCTATCATTTGTTTCATGTCGAGCAGAGAGAAAAATAGGCGAAGAGGCGCACGGTATGCAGCTAGAGGGCGAGAATCACTCCGGCAATTTGCCGCCTAGCCTGCTGACATACTGGCAAAGCACGTCCCTCTGTGCAACCGCACCGTCGTCGGCCACATTGCTGAACTGCTGATAGTAACCGTCATCATGGTCGTGCGACGCCGGTGCCCGTTCTCTGTGTGTGTCCCCGAGGTCGATCATGATGTTGGTGAGCAGGCAGCAGGCGTAGATGATCCTCGGTAGCCGGTGCTTGTCAGGCCTCCACAGCTCCCCCTTGAGTACCTGCCACCTTTCCTTCAGCCTGGCCATAGCACCCTGCACCACCATTCTCGCCGTGGCGTGCTGCTTGTTGAATGCTGCTTTTGCTGGAGACAGATCGCGCTCTTGGTATGGAGTCATCAGCCAGGGAAGGAGAGGGTAGCCCGTGTCCCCGATGATGTACTCTCTGACCACTGACCCTGCTGGCTCCCCAGGAAGCTCCATTTGTCCGTCCAGCCTCCCGCCTTTCTCGCACAGCTTGTAGAAGCCCGAGGTGCGCAGGATGCAGGAGTCATCCATGCTCCCAGGCCAGCCACTGACAACGTCTCTGAACCGCATGTCGGGGTCGACAACGGCCTGCAGGACCATGCTGTTCCTGTTCTCACAGTCAAGCCAGACATTGCTGTTAGGCTGAGCTGAAGAGCACATGAGGATGTGTGTTGTGTCTATGGCGCCGCAGCAGTTGGGGAGGCCCTGGAGCTTTTCGAACTTTGCTTTGATGGTCGCCATCTCCTCAGGGTCAGGCCACTTCAGATGACTGATTGCGTGATCCTCCAAGGACTCAATGAACTTCCAAGTGATGTTTGAGATTGCTGAGTGGTTCATTCCAAAGCGATTCCCTATGCTCAGAAGTGACTCACCAGTCGTCAGTCTCAACAGAGCAACAGCTACTTGATCCTCCAACGCAAGAATCATCTTGTCTCCAAACCTGAAATTTCTGAAACCCTGTGTCTTTCTTGAGAAGTCCCCGGTAATCAGAGTGCAAATGTAGTCGAATGTCTTCCTCGACATCTTGAAGACTGACTCAAAGTTCTGGCAGTCTTTGGAGTAGTGTCCTGTGTAAACAACAGATTGCAGTGTCACAATTTGATATCATAATTTATTGTACCACAAAACTGTGTGGCAAACATGAACATCAAATGTATACATTTTACAATGCAAGAGATCCAATTCATTCTTCCCATGCTTTTACAATGCGAGAGATTCAATTCATTCTTCAACATGAACAGCAAATGTATAAGTCTTATCCCTATCATGTCTACATACACTTTGGCAAGGAAGAAGATACCTAATCCTTACAGCGAGTTAAAACTTAGAAATGACAGGTAATGAAAATCTTATAGCAATACTGCGAAATTTCCACCAACTAATAGATAAGTCTACTCTATCAGCATATCTGATGCAACCTAAACAGAGTTATGAATGTGCTGGGAACTGGTACAAGAAATGGTTAAACTAAGAAAAAGCAAATTGTATGAGTAACTGTAGAAGATAATTCAAAGTATACGAGTAAATCATCGATCCGGATTAATTAAATATATAAATTAAATCAGTACATGCCTTCAGCACTCAGTTTAAAGAGTTGTGTAGATTTCAGACAAAACATTTCCTAGAGCTTGAGGGATTCCAAAATCCACTGTCTAAGGACTTGCGAAACATGTCTTGACCATAAGAGAGCATGGCATCATGCCACATGAGGAACATTTGCTCAGGAGAACTTCTCTCGGGAAACTGTCTGCAATGACCCATTCGCTTCATACTCATACACCATGTTGACAGAGCCTACTGAATCTAAATAGATTAGTCGACTATTTAATTGAATATACAGTTAACTTCTTTGAGAAAGGATCTACGAGTTACATACTAGAGTTGCAATCTTGTAGATATCATTACCATTTTTAAGTAAAGTGGTTGTGGATTCAAACACTTCCTCTTCTTAAGTATTATAAGTGTGAGAAGTTTTAAGAATATTTAAGCTAGTACTGCATCGCTCAACCCATGTGATGATCTGTATGAGCCACAGTAACTGTCTTCTAAATTGGCAGTCCGTCTATTTCTACCCAAATAGTAGCAACAATACTATGACCACCAATAGCACAGAATAAAAACAATTATCGAATTGTGTGGGACTATCTGTGAACAGATAGGCCGGGTTTTCCTCTACAACATGTACAGCAACTTTTGACTGAATTCTTCAGGAAATGTAAACAAGTTACTTCACATGCTTCAGAAAAGGAAAGGAAGGGTTAGTTCTTGTAGCATCGAGACTTGAACAATCGAGCAAGGGATTGTGGATGAGGTCGACGCAATGGGCACAACTGACACCACCTGCAGAGTTATGAAGCCCCAAAACACCATTGCACACATGCTTGGTAGATCTGAAATGGAGACGAAGAACCAAGAAAACCGCAAATGTCAAAACTAACCGCTCTCCCCCAACAATCCCCGACCCGGTCGAGGCCAGCCATAGCCGCCGCACTCGCAAGCTCCTATTGTTCGTGCCCTCGGAGAACAATCTAGAACGCCCCGCCCGCCGGAGACTGCCCGTGCCTCCGCGCGCCTTACCGTACACGAGCCTCAACAGCCGACCACCCCTCCAAGAAGCGCACCGAACAAAGCAGATTCACTGCACTAAACGCCCAGATTAAGGCCGCGGATTAAGCAAGGCCATCGAACGCGCGCGCGCAGGAAGCAGTGCAAATTCAACGGCGGCCCTCCCTGATCCAGCACCACCGCCGAAATCTGCCCACGCGCAATCTCCTACGCGAGGCGGGAGGGTGCCGCGCATTACCGAGGGCCGCGAGGCCACGGCGAGCCGCGGGACGAGGGACGGGCACGGGCGAGGACGGGCAGCAACAGTGGTCCAACCAGGGAGACGGAAAGAAACAGGAGAGATGGAGCATG